TCAAGATCCGAGTGCTTGGTAACAGGCATGTATGTACGCAGTCCCCATTTTCAAGCTTCCCAGCTGGTTTCCAACAAGCAAAGTCATTGGGGAAGCCAGCGGGACATCGCAAGTCGCAATTACATGCCGTCAAGATTTTCTGACCATAGTAGGAACTGACGTTGCAAATTAGGTGCGATCGTATATTTCACTTAACGGCTATGTCACTTAGTGACAGAGTTGTGGGTCCCAACTGTGATTGGTAAGTCAGAAATATCTGTATTGTTTTGGCGGCGTTAACAGCCCCAGATTTGATGGTATACACCAGTGATGGCGAACCTATGGCACGTGTGCCAGAGGCGGCACTCAGAGCCCTCTCTGTGGGCACTTCTCTGAACTGCTGGTGGCGGGCTGCGGAGCCCGAGTGCGCCGGTCGAGGGGCCGGCAGGCTGTGGCTGCTGACGGACACTGTCGGCCCCCATGCGCTCGCTGGCCTCTGTGTGCGGGGGCCGATGGTGTCAGGCAGCAGCTGCCCCGGCCCCTGCCTCGCCTTGCCCTGAGATAATGGCATCCCCACTCTGCCTCGCCTCACCCTGCAGGACGAGCCTCCTACCCACTACCCCACCTGCCAGAGACCCCCTGGATCTCCCCCAATCCTGCCCGGCCCCCACAGGTGTCCCTCCCCACAAGCAACATTGAGGTGACCACGCCCACCTTGGCCACACCCGCCCAGTCTGCCATGACCACCATAGCCACGCCCACCCAGTGGACCACGCCCACCTTGGCCACACCCGCCCAGTCTGCCATGACCACCACAGCCACGCCCACCCAGTGGACCACGCCCACCTGGCACCTGGCAATAAATAAGTGGGTTTTGGGTTGCAGTTTGGGCACTCGGTCTCTAAAAGGTTCGCCATCACTGGTATACACTGGGGTTTTTTAAAGAAAAGGCAAGTTATATAATTTAATTCCTCATCTGTTGTATTTTGGGAAGCAACTGCTCTGGAATCTTCCTACCTGTTGCATCATCCCAGGCTGTGCATCTGCAGGAGACATTTCAACCAATCTCTTGGGATTAATTACAAATTGACTCGTAACTACTCTAAGTAACGATTGACTAAGTGGAATCCTAGAGAAGAATAAATACAGGTAGTCCTTGATTTACAACCATTCGTTCGGTGACCGTTTGAAGTTACAATGGCACTGGAAAAAAAGTGACCCAGGACCATTTCTCACACTTGTGACCATTGTAGCATCTCCTGTGGCCACATGATCAAAATTTGGACTCTTGGCAACTGACTCATGACCAGAATTGAGCCCACAATTTCTGTTGTTGAGACATTTGTTAAGTGAGTTTTGCCCTGTTTTACAACCTTGCTTGCCTCAGTTGTTAAGTGAATCACTGCAGTTGTCAAGTTGGTAACAAGTTGTGGAAGCCAGATTCACTTAACAACCGTGGTACTAACTTAACAACTGCAGGGATTCACTTAACAGCTGTAGCAAGAAAGGCCGTAAGATGGGGCCAGCCTCACTTAACAAGTGTCTCACTTATCAACAGAAATTTTGGGCTCAATTGTGGTTGTAAGTCGAGGACTCTGCTTTCTTGAATTTCAAGGCC